TTATAAGGAGCTATACTTTATTCATAAAGAGCTATAAAATTGTTATATAGAACTATACTATGAATAAAAGAGCTATATTTTATTTGGAAAGAGCTATGATATGTTGTAAAGAGGTAGACTTTGAACATTCAAAATTATGATATTCTAAGTTTCTATATTCATCTTATAATTAATACTACTTATAAAGGAGAATACACATGTCAAAACTCAAATGTTTTAAGAAGTCTCTGCCTAGCCTGCCTAGACTTACGCCTAGGCTTAGAAGGTAACTTGGTCGCCTACCTAGCGCCTAGGTGTTTCCTAGGCTGCCTGCCTAGATTTTGGGAGTGCCTATGGGAGCGTGGTTTACCTACATAGTTTGCACCATTTAGACATTAATCATGATTTCCTCTATTACAGCTCATCCTCCAACCTCCTTCAAACACTAACTATGAACACCTCTACCTCTCCTGACCTTCAACAAAACATCATCCACCACCACTTAAAAAATCTACCTACGTGCCAGTCTAGCGTGTTAACTTTTTATAACATTGACACTTATTATCAATAACGATAATTAAAAACTAAAAAAAAAAGAAAAATGCCTGGGCCTCGCCTAGGTTTCCACCTAGGCGCCTAGGTTCTAGGTGTCGGGTCCAACGCTTAGACTGCCTAGCGTTTTCTATAAAATTGTAAAAACTTTTAATTTTCTTTTTAGCCCTCTCAAAGTTTGATAATTTGCAATTATACAGATCAAAGTTATCAAGTTTAAAGCAATAAAAAAAAGTTTAAAATTTCCAACAAAACCAAACACTTCCAACTCTCAAGCTTTAATAAATCCTACAAAATAACTCCATCATCTAGATTCATCTTGCAAAAAATAACCAAGTCATCCTCATCTAGAAAGTAATTTGCATCTTTGAGATCCACTTCATCTTCTGTAGCAATCCCTTTTTCTTTTTGTGTAGAGGATACCGTAGAAATAATTTCAATACAAAATTCGAGTATTCATGAAAATAAACATAACATTGAAAGCGCCTAGAAAGCATACAAGAACCATTAACTCTTTTTCTCTTTGCTGTTGGAGCATCTTTATTGTCTTCTTCCGCAGTAGCTAGACTATTAATTGCAGCAACATTGACTTGCTCCCTATCCTTGACATCACCATCTAGCCAGTTCGGATCGTTCGGAAGACAAGGCTCCTCCTCGACTATCCATTCATCATCGGAAGATACCTCATCTAACAAAATCACATCCATCTTTCGCGCCTTCCTCCGCATATTTCTCTCTCTTAGCTTGATATTGTACATAACATAACTAAGAGAACTAAGACGCTCTTGCTCCAAATGACATCTCTTTTTTGAGTGAACCTTCATCAAAAAATAACAACTTATAAGCTTTTGAGATAAGAGATACTAGTTGAATTTTAGAATTGAAATTACTTGCTCAAAGTGCTCCAATTGCGCTCGCATCCAGATGCACTAGTAGTGAGGGAGAGAATACAAACTGCAAATCACTTTAGATTCGGAGTTTAATCCCCAAACCTCTCCCATCAAGAAGGTATACATTCAAAGATTGAAAATCAACATAAGAAACCACCGTCATTATAGAATAAAAATTAACTAATTAGCAAATTAATACCTAAAATACGATTACTAATGGTCTTTTGAGCCATGGATGTTCCGAATTCTCCTATTTTTTCATATAAGCATCTAGCTCATAATCAGCTAATGCTCTCTCATCTTCGTCGGGGATCATGCGACTCATGCACACACAAAGTCCTTTCTTCACCACCAAATCCTTAGTAAATCTATCCCCATAGAATAATTTGGGATTAAGATAGTAAGGAGCGCAAGGATAGATTGATGCAACACATTCGTCCTTCTAGAACCATTTAGCTTCTAATATGGCATGTACGGTCTCTTCTTTCCACTACATACATCCGCAATCTTCTCCTTTGCATTGTCCATCATTTTGTATAAATATAGCATAGAAGGTTTTACATCCAAATCCACTTCCTGTAGGACATGAGCTAGCGAAAGTTTGGTGGTGAAGTCGCAACGCGCTGACTGGCGTTGACCTAGGGTTACGCGTTGACCGGCGTTGACCCTAGGGTTTACGGATAGCCATTAACACAGTTTATACTCGTATGTTTGCTGGAGTATACGCAGTTTAGGCTCTTAAGGTATTGGAGCACGGTGGTCCCAAGTGTCGGGGCTGCAGGACCAACTGTTAAAGCTGATTCATCTGCATGTGTGGATTTTGTCCTGAATTTGTTGGGTGCTCAAGTTACGAGACCAACTAGTGGAGTTGATGCATCAATGACTCGCAGTTATAGAATTTTTGGCAAATCCTCAGCCATCAACGGATTTGACAAGCCTTTACCGACTACCGTTTGAGTCAGGCTAGCATGCAGATTGTTTAAGTCTGTTCCGCATGTGACGCTGTGCTAAGAGAATTAACGCTCTTAGTGCTACGATATTGAATACGTAGAATTCGTCTCTAGTGTAAAGAACCTTGTCCTTTGCGTTCACTCCTTTTGACTTCTTCGTCCAAGTGCTTCTTTGAAACTCTTCAGAAGAGAACATGGTCCTCAAATGTTCTTTTAAGGGATACAACTTCTGTAGTGTCAAGAGGCAAGCGAGTAATACCATGTCTCAATAACTCCTGGCTCGTATACTTTCTCATCAAGCTCAAGACCCAACAATGGTTGTAGATGAATTGTATTAATCCTTTTGCATATTCAAGAATGTCGTGGTGCATCCTAATTTTCAAGATGTCCTCCAACATAAGGTTAATGCAATGTGTTGCACACAGTGACTAATAAAGTGACTTCCTCTTCTCCATTGGCTACTTCCTAGCTAGGATGTAGGATGCATGATTATCAGTGATGACTTGGAGAACATCTTTTCCCAAATCTCCACCATTTGATCAATCTTCTCCTCAATCTCCACCATTTGATCAATGCACTCAAAAAAATATTCCCCGTTCTTAAAAGCCGCCGGCGCCTTAATGTACTTGTAAAAAAAGTCTTCTCCGGTGAGTTCACGAGCAAGTTAATCAAACTTCTACTCTTCCTGCCCAACCATTCATAAGACATAAGAGTGCAATCATACTTTTCCCAAGCATTTTTATGTTTTGCCTTTATAGAATCTATATTCTCCACTTCTTTCTTAAGCATCCGCGTCTTATCTTAAAGGAGTACTGGAGTAGGAAGTTTCATTCCGGAACTGAATGTCCCAATAGACCTCGCCATCTCCTTTCAATGCGAGCTGCTCAATATGTTGAAAGGCAACCCGTTAGCAAGGATAAGTTGGCCAATCTTCTCTACCACCACATCCCTTTCTTCTTTTTTGATTTGCTTTCTATCGTCTTTTGATGGTCCCGAATATTAACAAATTGGTCCAATGACCCAAATGTTCTAGACTATTAACAAATTGGTCCAATGAACCAAATGTTCTAGACTATTGGACCTGACTACTGCTACCATGCCCGCTTTGTACCTCGAAGCTCTCAATCTCTTGTTGAATTGAGTCGTCATCCATCCTTCCAATTGAGTCAATCAATGCCGCCTTTTCTTTTACAACTTCCGCTCCTTTTAGAACATCCACAAAATACTTCACCGTTTCCAAAACTTTCTCGCATTTCTTCACACCTTTCTTTGTCCCGGCTAAGTGATGCTTAAACTGTGTCACACCCGCCATGATCTGATGATTACAATACTTGCAATAGGGATGTTGTTGCGGTTCCCCCTCCTTCGTAATAGCAAGCTCTCTCACAGGATCCAAACTCTTAAACATTGCCTAAATAAAAATCCTATACTACTGCACAAATAGAAAACAAACATAAAAATCAAATTACCAATTTACAATACAAATCAATATCCTAATTCTTAATTTAAATTCACAACATCAACCAAAACCAAGCTTGATTATGAAACGGTAAATTTGGCATGTAGATTGATTGCACACTGTAAATTGCAAACTGAATTTCACAAAATTAAGCCTAATTAATCAATTAAAATCTAAGCAGAAACTGAAAATGAGCTTTAGTTAACTTTATAATGACTGTAAATTAAAAATTATACCTCAATTCGTTGTAGGAAAGAAGAGGGCTAGACGAGCAGCAGAGAGAGAGGATTATGACTAGAGTTTGAGGAGTTGCAGAGGTCGGAGTTGCAGGGTGTTCATCGTCATCGAAGGGTTTCAGGGGGGAGGGAATGGGAGGTGGTTTAGGCCGTGTTGTTTTGTCTCCGCCGTTGAAGGAAGTGTAGGCTGTTCATCGTCGTCAAAGGAGATGATGATCATCAAGGGTTCGTCATCACCGAAGGAGATGATTGTCAAGGTTGTTCGTCGAGGGTCAGTTCTTCATCGTTGTGGCGGAGAGAACGATGTCAAGGGTTGGTTTGTTGTCTTCGTGGCTGGAGGGAGAGGTCAACATCGAGACTCAATTCATCATCGTTGTGGCTGGAGGGAGAGAGGTCGACATCGAGGCTTGAGGGAGAGAGGTCCGCCTAGGTTTTTATTTTGTGGAGGTGGCGATACAGAGGGTGCGGGTGACGGGACTAGAATATGAGAGAAATAAAGAGATAAGATGAGATCCACAGAAAAAATGGACGAATCCACGTGACCATGAATCTTAGGGATCTAATGTGGGCTATTTTGTGTTAGGATTGGAACGCATTTTAACGCGTTTTAAAAAAAACATAGGGTTAAATTGCATATGAGTTTTATCCTTGGGTTTTATAACAGCGAGCTCATGTAAAGTAATGCGTTTTTTAAAACATTAGTACATACTATATGAATACATGTTGTAATTGTAGATACTTGGGTTTAAAAATTTAGAATTTGGTGTTTTGTGTTTGAGGGTGTTTTTTGGAAGTTGGCGGGCTTATAAATAATTGGGGGTAAAACTTTGGGTTAATAGGCAAAAACCCCTTAAAAAATTAGCATACAATCTCCATTTTGATTTCTGTGCAAAAAATATGGAAGAGGTGCACTAAAATGGCTGATAACCACTAGGATACTCAAAGGAGGAGCTCCAGCATGTGCCTGCTCTTCACAATACAGGCTCAGCTTCTTTGATAATCTTCATGAGGCGTTTCTTGTCCATCTTCTTTGGTGGTTATCGCATTGCATTTTCTATTTGAGAAGCAAATGGCATGTAGAGTCAAAGAAAGGAGGCTTGGTAGGTACCTACGAAATGCATTCACTAAAATTTTAAACAAATTCGATCTTTCTTTTGACACAAGGCCTTCAGGTCCTAGGAGCAAACCTTGCTTTGATACCATTGCAAAGCTCTGCAAGAGAACTTCCAAGGAGGTTAGTGATCCTTGTACTTGCACTCAAGCAAACATAACTGCATAATATTTACCTCTCTGAAAGATGTGAGTTTGTTCAACTATAATAGACTTTTCTGGCACACAGTCATTGGGGAGATTCACTGAGGGCTGTGAGATAGAGTTCAAAAAAATTAGTAATGATGTTGATGCTTTGTCTTGAACGAGTTTATTTCTTAAAAATCATTGATTAGAAATATTATCTTTCCATTCCTTCTTGTTTTCTTTTCATTCTCAAACTATTCAGACTAAGTAATTGCTAACCTCCAGACTAGTATGTGACCATTTTATAACTCAAAGAGGAAAAAGCTCTATGTCAAATTGCTTTTTTTCTCATGCATGAGATCATCCAGCTCTGTGCATGACACAAGTCAAATAAGCTACTGAGACCTTATTAGCATAGAAGCTCTAACTCCCAATATTTATGTTGCTTTCAATTATGTGTTTTACTTGTAATAAAAATTAATTTCATTGTCTTATATTTCTGTTTAATTTGCAAGTAATACAGGACATGCTGGGGAACTGGAACCTCCATGCTGATGAACCAGGAGAAAATTTATTTCTTGCAATTTCAATTCAACATCCAACGTTGGGAAATTATTTTACTGCTATTTTAAGTGCCAAAAGAGTTGATTCATCTTCAAATTCACTTAATCTGGCATTGTATTTCTGGCTGATGCCTCACAAAGTTGCGGTGTGGATTTACTTGCAGGTAAACATGAACGGATACTTTTTCCTTATATTTTCTATATTTCCACTAAACATATGCACTTTACGTATTTAATATTTATCCTGATATCTAAGTACACCAATTTAAACTATTGCTTATTTTTCTAATTATATTTAGCTCACACTTTGCTTATAGCATATTAGTGAAGACAAAAAGAAGGCTTGTAACTCTAGATTAAAACTTTAGTGAATAATAAATATTACAAGGTAATATTGAAGACTGTTTAAGGTACAAATATCACCAGAAGAACAACTTATACTTTCTGGTGGATATGTTTTTTGAGTTTATGTTCTGCAAATCTGATTTTGTCAGATTATCTAGGTTTCACACTGTATTTTTCTTTTCGATCAAAATTTCAAGTACCTCAGGTATGAAGTTTTCCTAAATAACTGAAAGGAATTATTGGCTCAGGTTAATGTCGGCGCTAAATGCACTTTTGCGCTGTTATTTGTGATGCTAATTCAAATAGTTAGCTTTCCTCTGCTTCTTAAGTTTCGAGCAAGGTTTCAGCGTAGACAAGTTTTGTTTTCTGTAGCCAGCCTTTCTGAAGTGTTGGCATTAGTAGTTAAAGGATCAACTTTGTTAGGAAGGAAACTAAAAAATGATACGGATCAAATTTTAATGATTCTATGAAACCCATACCTGAAACAGAAGGCCTTCACATAAGCTTGATTCCCTCTTTATAGGTATAGATTGCTACTTTCTGCTTGAGTGAAGAAGGGTTGGTGTGTCCCTCCATACTCTTGGCTACTGTGCTGCTGATGTGACACACCTTCAGATAATAGTTATATATGTTGATCCATGTTGTTTGTGGGGCCTGATTTACATGGAGAATACATATCACTAGGAGCCAAAATTGGATGCCTATAGAATAACACCCAACTGCCCAAGTTCCCAAATAAAAATTGACAAAAATTATTATAAATGTGTATCTTTAGCCGCCTATTATGATTAGTATCAAGGAGATAGATAGCAAGAAGGGGAGAGAAGGGTTTGAGAGATTGATTGCAATCCTTTGATAAGTAGTGGAATCTTGATCTGGTGGATAATTGCATTGATTGCTGAACCACATCTAATCCTTGTCTCTGTGATTATTTCTCTGGTTTTTTTATCGTTATTGTTATCGACATGCAACAATATGTTCGGGATGGTTTAATGAAACCTAAGGCGAACTGACATGGGGGCTAGGAGGCTCTGGCCCTACGTTGCCAATAAAAAAGAGAGGGGGTATTAGTTATTATCTGCAAAATTTAAGATGATGGGGGCTAAAGTGTAAAGTATTTTTTGCTAAAAGAGAAACTTGTGAGTTTCTTGTCGCGAATAGGAGGAACTCATGAAGCTAAGGATTTTTCTACTTTTTCTTAGGAATATGATTGCCGATATCAAGCTCTCCCTCCTGGCTTGTGTTTCCTCTACCTGCAGTGATCATTTCATCCTGCAATCCCGTTGAGTTTTTTAACTTTAAATCTTTCCTCCTAATCGATCTTTTTAATTTTCTCAATTTTGATTTGTGTAGAATTTTAGGATTTGGAATTTCTAGAAAATTTCCCCTTTTTTCACTTGTATAATTTTCCCTCTTTGGATTTGTTTAGGTTTTAGTCTTTTAGGGTTTGATTTCAATGATTTGTTTATCTCGAACATCATCATTCAATAGTCTCAAACTCTTTCAAGTCCTAATAAAGCTGAAGTTTAAATGTATGATGTCCATCGCAATGAAGACATGATCATTCATTCATCAAATCTCTAATTCCCAATTCCTAAACAATATCAAATAAAGCATCATCTTAGTATATGTCACCAAAGCAATGTGAGAATTGAGAAAAAATTTCTAAAAGAACCATAAATATATGTATGAATTGTATCATTTATTATAATATGTATTTAAAGGTTTTTGAAATCTATATGTTTTACCTTATTTCTGTCGTGGAACGATTTGGGTAAAAGAAATCGAGTATCCTACCGCTGAGGGTAAGATTATCTCAATTATGGAATGATTTATTAAAAAAAAGCTTAACCAGCTTTTACTACTGGTGGTGAGAGTGAATCGCGACCATCATTGTTACGGCGCGCCGCCGCTACGACCATCACCTTCACCAATGGTGGAAAACGTGGATAAGTATGAATTTTTGGCGGATCTCAGACTAAGACCTAATATTCATTTAATTGTTACTGATTTTAAACAATTAGAAAATATTCAAAGAGCATTTTTACTTAAGGGTCATTGTCAATCCGTATTTGCAAACTATCCTACTCGTGTCTTTTTGGATAGATATCGATATTTTTGCAAGAGCGACTCATTGGGTACGGAGATTGGTTGGAATATAGTGAATGTAAATATACTTATTTTTATTGTATTGTTATTTGTTTAAATCACCACATCAACAAAAGGGAGGTGGTGATCATTTTGTTGGTACGGGGTACTATAATTGGAAAAATGAGGGATCGTGAAAATATGTTGGAGACGACAATAGTGTTCATACACAGCTTCTCAATAAGAAAAGATTGACTATCGCCTTCGCTTGAGAATGACGGTTAGAAGAATCATGTTTCACTTATATCAAGAAAGTTCTTTTCCTGGCCACGATTAATCAGAAAAATCCTTATACAAAGGATGGTTTCTTGAACTTCTACAATATGTGACCACATGTAGAGAAGATATTAATACAACTTTAAAAAGTTGTATTGACGAATGCTCCAGACAACAACATACACATCATCAAATATGCAGAAAGATGTGATCAATGCTTGTTCCTATTTAACAATAAAAAACAAAAATTGCAGATATTAATGACTTGTTTGCTTTATTAGTTAACGAGTCTCGTGATTTATCAACTTAAGTACAAATGACTATTGCTTTACGTTATTTAGACAAAACTAGGAGCATCATTATGTGCTTTATTATAGTTGTCCATGTTACGTATACTAAGGTGGTGACATTAAAAGCTGCCATTATGTCCGTTTTTGACACACATGGGTTGAGCTTGTCACATATATGTGGACAAGGTTATGATGGAGGTAGCAATATGCAAGGAGAATTCAATGATCTTAATACATTGATATTAGCGGAGAGTAAATTAGTTTTCAATGTTCATTGGTTTGCTCATCAACTTCAATTGGTACCCGTAGGAGTTGCAAAGAAACATGATTTACTTTATGAGTTTTTTGAACATATTGCATGGATAAAAAAATGTTGTCTAAGGCTCACGCAAGTGTTAAGATATTCTTCGAGAGAAGCAACTTGAAAATGTAATCGATGGTATTTGTAGAGGTGAAACCAAGACGGGAAGAGATTTGAATCAAGAAGCAAACTTGAAACGCCCAGGCCAGCAGATACATGTTGGGATTCGCTTTATGCCACAATTATGAGTTTGCATGATTTGTTTTCATTGGTGATTAATGTGGTGGAGGTCTTCTCTGTGGGAGGCAATAGTGATAAAAAAAACATGAAGCAAAATGCATTTTGCATTGTTTAATTTTGAGTTTGTACTTTTGTCACTTGACAATGGCAGACCCAAGAATTTTGGGGGACCAAAAAAATTAATAGTTGTTGTTTTGTACAGAGAGGAATTAGAGAAAAAGAAGATCGCTACTTAGTAGCCTCTCCCCATCTATTTATATTAACACAATGATACAAGTAAGTCCTTAACCGATGTGGGACTAAACCAAAGAGAGACTAAACCCAAAGTACTAAACCCAAAGTACTCTTAACACCCCCCTCAAACTGGAGTGTATACATCATACATACCCAGTTTGTCACAAATAAAATCCACTCGTGTTCTACCTAGTGGTTTGGTGAAAATATCAGCTAACTGGTGTCCTGTTGACACATGTTTTGCTTCAATGACCTTCTCCATGAGTTTTTCACAAATTATATGGCAATCAACTTCAATATGTTTGGTTCTCTCATGAAACACGAGATTCTCAGCAATATGGATTGTCGTCTTATTGTCTCCATATAAGCTCATAAGACACTCAGGAGGGAGTTTAATTTCAGTCAGTAAATCCCTGATCCATATCATCTCTAATGTTACATTGGCCATGGCCCTATACTCCGATTCCGCATTCGAACGAGATATTATACTTTGTTTCTTACTCTTCCATGATATAAGGTTCCCTCCAAGAAATACACAATAACATGTGGTCGATCTTCTATCGAAAGGACACCCTGCCCAATCTGCATCAGAAAAACCTGCCACCCTTGTGTGTCTCTGATCTGTGTAGAGAAGTCCTTTTCCTGGAGCTTTCTTTAAATATCTCAAAATCCGCATTACGACATCAAAGTGAGTAGTTCTTGGTGTTGATAGAAATTGGCTTACTACACTGACTGAAAACCGCATTACGACATCAAAGTGAGTAGTTCTTGGTGTTGATAGAAATTGGCTTACTACACTGACTGAAAAAGTGATGTCCGGTTTGGTTACCGTTAAGTAGTTTAATTTTTCAACTAATCTCCTGTACCTCCCTACATCTTCAAGGAGCTCCCCCTGATCTGGTAGCAGTTTTGTGTTCACATCCATTGAAGAGTTAATACTCTTACATCCCAACATTCCAGCTTCTGATAGAAAATCAAGTACGTAGTTTCTTTGTGACAGAAAAATACCTTTCTTTGATCTGACCACTTCTATGCCTAGAAAGTACTTAGAGAACCTAGGTCCTTAGTTTGAAAATGTGTTTGCAGATATTTCTTCAGGCTATCAATACCTTATGCATCATCTCCTGTGATCACAATATCATCCACGTACACAACTAGTAATATCATTTTTCCATCATGCATTCGCCAGAAGATAGAATGATCTTTTTCTGCACGATTGAGACCAAACTTTCGAAGGACGGAGGCAAAACGACCGAACCAGGCACGGGAGATTGCTTCAGACCATATAGTGATTTCTTTAGTCTGCAGACTTTCATAGACTCCCCCTGAGCAACAAATCCTGGTGGTTGCTCCATATAGACTTCTTCCAAAATTCCATGAAGAAAAACGT